CTTTCATTATCATCATCAACATTACAGCCCTTCACAAGTCCACTGCTGAATATAGGCCTCCCCCAAGGTATGCCACAAAGCACGGTCCTGAGCCACCTGCATCCATCGACTTCCTGCATGTCTTACCGGCTGCTCTTAGCTGCTCTTTGGGCCTTGTTAATTGCTTATGTAGAACAAACACTCACCAGCTCCTGAATTCGGATAAATATTCGGAATTAACGGTATTTTGTGGCACAAAAACCCTCTTTATAAATACAGCTTTTAAATTAGATGGATAATGACAGGTTTTTTATAAAAAGCATAGCGTTTACACATCGCTAAAATAGATTAATAATTCGAGAGCAAAAACAAAATTGTTAACGTTACATAGCACTTTACTATGTGCTCAGTGATGAAGGAAATGAAATCAATCGCAACATAAAAATTCTAAAAATGGCGCAAGCAAATTCGTAATATAAACTATTACATATCACAGTAACAGTAAGAACAAATTATTTTTTTTAATTTCTTATATGTCAGTGCTTCACTACAATCCAAGCCTTTCATGGTAAACGGCACTGTTTTGACCGTAACGTAAGCCTATTCATTCTTGCCTTGAAGACACCCGCCTTTTAATTGATTATTATTTACCAAAAAAAATTTATTAATATATTATTAATTACAAAAATATTTTCAGTATTTCAATTTGTTTTGTTTCACATAAGTAAAAAAGTTAATCCGTACGTGTTTCTTTTTCATTCGTTTGGCCTGCGGCAGATGATATTGTTAAAGGACCATGCTGCCACACAACTAGCATTACTGAGCGGATCGAGATAGACAATTCAATAGAGCATTTTCTCATAAGAAATTTATGTGTTAGTAAATAAGAGATTAAGTAATTAATAAGTTTATATAGTTGTTAGTATTTATCCTATTTAAGAATTTTGTTGTACCAGGGCATCATTATCGCTTCAGCGACAAAGCCCTTTTTCTAAGAATAAAAAAAACCAAAATCTTTTTTAAATATTTTGTCAAGTAAATATAGCGATCTATAGTTACATATGTACTGTTAAAATAATATGTAAGAGTTGTGAAATGTGTTGTGTTATGAAAAAGTTTCATAAAAATATTGTGACAAAGCCCTCATACTCATAATATGTTAAATATTTAAAAAATATTAATAAAAACATTATGTAATACGAATATATTATGTAATACAACGTTTTAAATATTTGTGTAGGTATAAGACTTAAAATTTCTTTTTAATTTTGTGGAGTAGTTTGTCTATCGTTGTGACGATGAGATAGAAAGCAAATTCAATACATTATTATCAACAATCTTCTTGATCAGCCCGTATAAATCCACTGCTGGACAAGGGGTTTTCCCACTGTAGATACATTAGTCTTACTCGTCTCGGTTAGCTGGCGGGTTGATTATCGCAGGGTTAACCAGACGTTGCGCGTTGCAATCAGATGCTCGTCGCCGACCTGTTCTTTTACAACTGACGTAAGCGAAATGATTAATATTAAAACGCCACCTATTTTATGCCATTAGATCTTTTTGTTGATTTCTACACATAATTTTTTTCAACTTTACTATTATTATGTTGTTACTCTATATTGGTGGGTTAGTTTTACTTCGAATTCCTTCCGGACTTATTACAGTGTAAACATAAAATTCATACTTAACTAGATCACAGCGCCCCCTATCAGGTTAAGATTTAAAGATTATTTTTGACTCTATTTCTAATGTATCAGTAATTTGTAATTTGTTAACGACTTGAAGATGTGGTGTGACCTCAGTTCAGAAGTTACGCGATCACTAACACACGTTCAGATTATAGAAAAAAAAGGTTTGGTTTGTTTTTATAACCTGAGAACAGACGTACCCTAAAGATAAAGCTAATATTTTTTGTTGATAGTTTATAATATATAAGTATTATAGTATATTTATATCATATTAAAATTATAAGAGTAATATTAGATAAAATTTGCTTTGTCCAAGTGATTCGGGTATTCAGAGGGACACGTACCCTCTTGTATCTATGAATAGCATCAGGCGGGCCTCGGCTCAGAGGTCGAAGGCGGTTAATTGGCGACGAGTCGCTCCAGCCGGTTTCTTCGCCTGTTGTTTTACGGCATTTCTGCCTTAGTCAGACTCACTAAGTTCTATCACATACCTTTACGATCTGTATAATATTTTTGTATGTAAAGCTCATTTTTGCATGACACATCATGACTTTATTTGTTCTCTTTCGAACCTAGTATATTTATATTCTAGGCATCGCGTTATATAAGCGTTTGTCTATGGAAAGCCTTCAACGCTTTTAAACGGAAACTATGAATCCCTTTAACCGCGTCCCCTTTCAAAGAGCGTCCCTAAAAGTTTTCGTTTTGTCAGCAAGCAAATCGATCGTTGTGCATTTCGTGCATGGCTATTACCTACCAATTTAGGGTTAATGCGTTTGTCATGTAAAAGTAGTATAGTTTTAAAATTTCAGTTTTTAATATTTTTCATTTTTAACTTTTACATGGATATAATATGTGTTTTATTTAAATAAAGAGAAAACTGGTTATTTGCAGAAAAATAAGTTGGTGTACTGTATCACTCACTGTCACAAGTGTTAAGGAAATAGTCGAAAATAACTACTTTAGAGGTTGATCAGCGTTGAGGCCATTGCTCTCGGCTAGACTGAGAGAAAAAAAACCGGGGAACAGTTGTTGAACGGGGAGAGAGGGGGATTCACGGTTGAGCGGCCTCGCCACCTGCGAGAGCCCAGAACATTGCAATATTGCACTATACCACAACCACATTTAGGTAGGTACCTGGCTGGCTGTTATGCGTCTAGAGAAACCAACGCTATATTTAGTAAGCCCTGTTCTCATACTTACTTGATGACGAAAAAAGTGATATCAGAACTTTTGATACTATATGATTTGGTTATCTACGATGTCTTACCACAGACTTCAAAAGCTACTATATTACATAATATGTTGAAGTTATTTTATTATCTATAATTTTGACGTTGGATTGTACTTTTTAAAGTTTAATTATTTTGCCCTATTAAGTGGACTAAATAACTAAGAATGTTCTCTATTTTTTCAATAAATTGGAATAAGGTATTATCATATATAGACTTAGATAATTTTTTTTCTAATTGGCTCCACTTTTCTATAAAGTTACAGCCTATATACGTCCCATTGCTGGGCACAGGCCTCCTCTAATAATCTGAGAGGGTTTTTAGGGCAAGGAGGCCCCAATTTTTTGGTTGTTGGCGAACTTCACATGTCTTCGAAATATATTTTTATTATTTATCAGACATGCAGGTTTCCTCACGATGTTTTATAAAATAAAAGACCAATAATCAGAAAAATTCAAATTCAAAATGTTTTAAATATTTTCTAAATTACTTAATAATAAATTATAGAATACATTATAAGCAATTGGATTTGCTGTAAAGTATTTTAATTTTGTGGATATTCTTACAAACTGTAAAAACTTTGTATTAAATATGTTTTTAATTTCTTATTAAATGGAAGCAATTTACTTCATTTGTAATATTCACAGGTAATTTATTAAAAATTTTACCTGTCATATAGTATAATAGGCTGCAATTTATCATTTTAATTCTGGATAATTTTGGAAAGATATTTTGGTTTTTGAATGAAGTGTAGGATAGGATATGTCTTAAATATATGACAGATATTATATTAAGTTAGCAGTATATATTTTACGAAATATCTTTTGCAACTTAAAGTGTCTCACACATTTTTTGAATGATTAATTTATGTTTGTACTGCCCCATAGCATTATCCCGATGAGAAAGCATAATAAGTATATATAGTAGGTACACAGGTAATGATGACTCTGTATTCGTACTGCATTTCAACTCAAAAAAGGGCATAATTAAAACGTAATTTGCGAATTTTTAAAATTTATATTGATGCAATTGATGTATTTCAGTGATTTATTGTAAGATCCGAACATTTTTTTTTGGTTTCATTATATTTAATTTCTTAATTGTGTATTTATAACCAGCCTGTGATATTACTACTATATTTTGGTTTTCATTGGTTTCATTTTTATGATTAAGGGAATATCATCTACAAATAATATTGGAAATATAGTTTCCTTGTCAAAATTTTGTAAGATCGTTGATATACATTAAGAATAAAAACATTATAGAACATTACCTTGTCGAATTGAAGACGTTAAATGCCTTTCTCCGGATCTAATAATATTTATTTTATGTTATTTATGATTGTAATTTTTTATTTCAACAATTTGTTTTCTGTTCTAATTCTAAGCGGTCCCTCGAATGCCAGTGCCATGTAATTTTGACAATAGTATATTATAAGAAACTTTATCACAATCTTTGGTCATAAATAATAGTAGAACTGTTGCATATCCCTTGTCATTAATGTGCTGAAGAGCTTTTTGTGCTTTTGTAAATCCATTTTGGAAATCGTCTTGAATTTTCAATGTTTCAATTTCAAAAAATGTAAAGGCGGTTACACATAGTATTTTCAAATATTTTTGGAAACGTTAATAGTGCTATTAGTCTGTAATTTTTAACATAGTTTTGTAATCTGTTTCACTACTGTAATTATTGTTTATAGATTTGGTAATATTCTTGTCGATTTACAATTTATTTATATTTCAATTATTTTCTTATATATTAATTATTGGAAGTTATAAAGAAAAGAAAAAGATGGTAAACAAATTTGTTGCGTGGACTATGAAGACGGGTGGACTCTGGACACAGATGTGGTGATTGGTGGCCTAAGCAACGTTTGTTTACAGATTCAAGACACCATTTAAATATTGAACAACTATATCTTGGAATTGCTGTTGCATCAAAAATAAACACTTCTGAAATAAAAGCGGGTAAACAACAGCACACATAGTTCCTGCATAGGTGTAAAGATTTTCTGGTTGAAGCTGCCTTGCAAATAAAGAAAAGATGGGATTTCGAGAATGCACGACTGATAAAAATATCCTTGTGGGGTCCGAAGAATGCCATGAGCGAAGAAATAAGAAAGGATAACCCTTCAATCCTACCCATTGCGTTAGCATTTCGTAGGGTCGTCGAAGTAGATGATATACACGTTTTGCAAATTCTGGATGATCAATGGCGCAAGCTACTCTTTGCAAAAATACCAGAAGAAATAAAAACTGAAAAGAAAGTAGATGTATTTTGGGCTAAACTTAGTAAATGGAGTGATCTGACAGAAAACAAGCCTTTCAGCGATATTTCCCAATTCGCGTTGGATTGTCTCGTGCTTCCACACGCAAACGCAGATTGTGAACGAATATTTAGTAAGATCAATCTTACCAAGTCAAGGACTCGGAACAGACTAGTAACAGGAACTGTAGATGCAATCTTACTGTCATGCGATGCAATAAAACGCAACAAAAGTGGCAATTGCACCGATTTTGAACCGACGGAAGAAATGTTACGAAGAGCCAATAATAAAAGTAATGACGGAATGCAGTGTATTGACCAAGTTGCAGAAATTGATATAAATATACCATAATTCCAACTTAAGTGATAATTTAAAGTTGTATGATTGATTATTAAATTGTATACTTTCTTATTTTCTTAATTTATTATTCTTTTCAAGTGTTATAAATCCGATGATATCCCGGACGTCAGTCTGAGCGAGATTAGAATGGCTCTCCAGAACCTTAAAAACGGCAGGGCTCCAGGCGAGGATGGAATTACAGCGGAGCTTCTGAAAGCGGGTGGAACACCGGTACTTGAAGTCCTTCAGAAGCTCTTCAATTCCGTCCTCCATGGTGGCACTACTCCGGAGGCGTGGAGCAGAAGTGCGGTGGTCTTGTTCTTTAAGAAAGGCGACAACGCTCTCGTGAAAAACTACTGACCGATTTCCCTTCGGAGCCGCGTCTACGTGCTGTTTTCGAGAGTCATTACGAATCGTCTCGCACGCAGACTCGACGACTTCCAGCCTCCCGAACAAGCCGGTTTCCGAAAAGGCTTCAGTACCATAGACCACATACATACCCTGCGGCAGATTGTACAGAAGACCGAAGAGTACAATCTGCCCCTTTGCCTGGCGTATGTGGACTATGAGAAAGCCTTTGATTCCGTCGAAATTTGGGCGGTGCTACAGTCCCTTCAGCGGTGTCAAGTTGACTGTCGGTATATCGAAGTGCTGAAGTGTTTGTACAGTAGGGCTACGATGGCTATCCGAATACAGAACCAGAGTTCGAATCCTATCCAACTGCAGAGAGGTGTAAGACAGGGTGACGTTATATCCCCGAAACTCTTCACCGCTGCGTTGGAAGTCGTTTTCAAGCTACTGGACTGGAAAGGATATGGTATTAACATCAATGGCGAGTACATCACTCACTTTCGATTTGCCGATGATATAGTCCTTATGGCAGAATCCCTGGAGGACCTTAGCACTATGCTCAATGACCTCAATGGTGTCTCTCAACGGATTGGTCTTAAGATGAACATGGACAAAACAAAGATCATGTTTAATGTCCATGTCACACCTATGCCGGTAGTTGTTGGGAGCACTATGCTCGAAGTTGTTGACGAGTACGTTTACCTGGGACAAATAGTCCGACTTGAAATTTGTGCCGTCCCTGTGTTTGGAACACTTTTATCGGTGATTTTGTGAACTTTTAACATGACAAAATAAATAACAAATACTCAATACTCTGACAGGAATTGTAACCCAGATCAAGACATTTATAACTTTTTAAATTATTAAAAAAAACTACGAAAATATATACCAATCTATACGAAATTTAAACAACTAAAAGTAATATAATTACTAAAAGTAATACATTGACTATTAATTTTTGACTTTTTATTTAAAATTATGTCCATATTAACTAGTTTTAAGAGTAGCTATCGAAAGAGAAAGTAACTAGGTAGGTATAACACATTTCAAACCGAGCGTTTTAATATGTATAATATATAAAACTATAAAATAACCGTGTCATTTACGAATTTCGATCACCAGTTTTACTTTTCTATTCTATAGCACTAGGTTAAGATTCCAAAAATATTTGAAAACTATTGCCTTTACATTTTTATGAAAAATTGAAAATTCAAGACGATTTCCAAAATGGATTTAAAAACTACAAAAAGCTCTTCAGCACATTAATGACAAGAGATGTGCAATAGTTCTACTATTATTTATGACCAAAGACTGTGATAAAGTTTCTTATAATATACTATTGTCAAAATTACATGGCACTGGTATTCGAGGACCTGCTTAGAACAGAAAACAAATTGTTGAAATAAAAATTGCAATCATAAATCATATTAAATATTATAAGATTAGAATTAATTTAACATTTTTAATTCCACAAGTTAATGTTCTAGACTGTGTTCTATTCTTAATTTAATAAATCGAAGTATATTGCATACCTATACGTAATATGAGATTCCTTGTGTTTTGTTAACTATAGAATGATAATTCGTACACCTTTTAAATACACACGATGGCATTTTATTATTGTGAATATTTTCTATACAGCGTCTTTCTCGTCACCCTGCATGACGCGGTGAAAGACAAAACGTCCCAATTAAGACGTTTTAGTCTTTCTTACGCGCAGTAACAACTTATACATAGCAAGTCACAAAACGCATATACAATAATGGACGACACACGCGGTCAATTCAACTGATCGTTCCAACTGATCAGTTCAAACTAAAATTGTTGATATTTTTTTAAATAGCGGATTTTCGATATATCAACAAATAAACTTATATATATAAAACTCCGATATTGATAAATTTATAATGATCGATAAATCGAAAATACACTATTTTAAAAAATATCAACAGTATTAGTTTGAACTGATCAGTTGGAATGATCAGTTGAACTGATCGTGTGTGGCGACCATATGATATCCGTATCTGGGCGCATGTCTTTCAATATCGCTCTCTATGAAACTCAATGAACTGACACACACGGCGCAGATAGTTTATATTTTATCGTTATTTATCTGTCCGTATCAACCTATAAACGAAAAATTTCGACAATATTATCTACTCATATAAATATATATCTATATATGTCATAGGATGTTGCATAAAATACTATAATACACAGTAGAATGGCTGTCAACCTTTTTTTGTACGAGGATTGCCGTCGCCGGGAGCACACATACAATCAATTACGTCGTATTATCAGTTATCACTACTACAAACCCGATTCGCTGTGTTGACGGACTGATTTGACACCACTTTTTATTAACCTTAATAACTAAGTTCTTAAACTAATGTAGGTATACTTAAGTAATTTTAAGTTGGCGTCGACTTGAGTACCTCCTCCGTTTTTTCGTCGGTATTATTATGTTTTGGAGAATTTGCCGTAATTGTACAGATATATTTGATTGAAATTCAAATTCTATATTAGCATAATAGCCGATTTACAAACACTTCGACAAGTACAGTAACGAGTTTAGTTACAGGGCAGTTGACACTAAACTGTTAAGTGGACAGCAGCGTTCAAATGTCTTCGTGGCGAGTTTAGAGAAGTACTATTTTATATTCTGAGGGTCGAACGCGAACACTTTGCGTCCTGTCAACTTATGCACTGGATGACTGAACTAAACCCGATTCACTCGTTCACACGAGCGGCGAGTTTAGTTGCGGGTGGCGGGAGACGTCCAGGAGGGGATCACTTCGAACTTAACTCGCCGAAAATAGACCGACTGACTATCCCGTTCAACTAAATTGTTAACGTGCTACTTAACTCACTAATTGCCGTTCAAACGAAATTTTCATACTTAACTCGCCAGGTTCGCAAGTTAACTCGCTATTGTACTTGTCGAAGTGTAAAGCGACCATAAGGCTAAGTCGTTTGGTCTAGAAAACAAAATGTTTTCCTGTTGATCATCGTTTGATTCCGAGATTTTATATGTTGACCGGACTGACTAAAACTGATAAAAACATATAATATTGCTCTTGTGTCGCCATCGTTATAATCATATGTCAATCATAATGTCATAAAATCCGCCTAAAAACCAATAATTAATTACCTTGGATCAATACTGTTGTCAGAGTCAAGTTTACGTTTAAAAAAAGATAATTTATTAATGCTTTTAAATTCTCCAAGTTTTTCTGATAAAATATAGCCTAGATCACTCCTGGAAGACTAGCCCGGACAGATAGACAGGCTGACAATTTTTTAAAGGATTATTCACGTTCACGTGTAAGTGGCATACAAATAACCCTCTGAATTAGATGAAAAGAAATAACTTTCAGTATCATAGACCGGGCACTGCAATTTTTTACTCGTGTAGGTATGTAAAGATAAAAAGCAACTTGACTTTTCGTTCAATTTACGTACACATATAACTACTGTTAAATGCATATTATTTTTCCTCTTATAATATTAAGTATTTACAAATTTCTCTAGAGATTATAAATGTTATAAAATTAATACCTGTTAATTATAATTTATAAATATGCACATATTTTAAATAAAGTAGATATTTATTGTTTATAATAAATACCTACTTTATTTAATTATTACTATGTAATATTTTTCTTCTTAAACGGCTCATAATCAGCTGATCAATGAAATAAAAATTTTAAATTTTTCCGAACGGAATAATTTAAATTCAGGATAATTTTAAAGGTTATGGAAAGAAAAAGAGGAATATGTTTTAAAAGGTTTTAAATACTAAATATGTAATAACAATATATATGTGTAATACCAACGTAGATTTTTCCGTTAGATGTTCACACGGGACACTTTTGCCGAGTTGCGTATAACATAACATAATGCACATTTGAAGATGGAAATGAAATACTCATTTGCGATTACCAACAGTGTACGTGAGTAAAAATTCCATCATCATATACTATAAATGGTGTAATAGTTATCCAGGAAAGAAACAACGGACTACTTAGTATTGTGAGTTAGAGTAGAGAGTTAGAGTGGGTGCGTCCATCGCAGGTTTTTAGTTCCCGCAAGACACATATTGTTGATTATAAGATTGTTAATATGTTGTGTTGTAATTAATTGTCTTCGTGTTTCTCCGTTGTACCTAGTAGACTCGTATTGATTCGTAATATTAAAGTACCTAAGTACTCGACATTGATTTATATATTACACTAGATTAGTAATAACCGCGCCAAAGCGTTTCCACTGCACATTTTCTGCACTGCACATTCCATGGACATCCATAAGTCGAGTGGGCCTGATGGAATCCCCCAATTGTGCTGAGGACGTGTGCTCCAGAGTTGGCACCGGTTTTAACGCGTCTTTTCCGGTACTCCTACTCCCTAGGCGTAGTCCCAAAATCATGGAAGACGGCTTTCGTCCACCCGATCCCTAAAAAAGGCGACCGCTCGGACCCGTCCAACTACCGGCCTATCGCCATCACCTCCTTGTTCTCCAAAACAATGGAGTCCATTGTAAACTGCCAGCTCATGAGGTACCTTGAGGATCACCAGCTGATTAGTGACCGCCAATACGGTTTTCGCCGTGGTAGGTCAGCTGGTGATCTTCTGGTCTACCTAACTCACAGATGGGCGGAGGCA